CTCAGCCTTGCTAGCTCTTACAAAAATGAATGAAGGGAAATAATTCGTCATTTTAGTTGCTACTAAAAAGACATTTTAGGGACCAGCAGTTAGCATAATGGCTATGTCACTGGACTCTCATGTAGTTGACCACGGTTCAAGTCCTGGATCCGGTGGCTGAAACTCACGCCGGGTGCGTGTGTGTGCATGCCCATGATTCTGAGAGGAGAATGGAGGAGAAGAGATTGTGGTGTGGCCATCCCCCCGGGTGGTGATTTCTCCCTTCATGTCTATCTCTGCCAGAAACGCCACGCCCCTAAAAGAAAAACCCCCCAAAAAAAAAAAAAAAAAAAAAAAAGAAATTTTATTATTTAATAAAACCCCCTAAACTTCTTTTAAATATCACAATACAGGGCCAGCAGATGGCATGGAGGTTAAGATGCTGGATTCCACATGGCTGACCCTGCAGTTTGAGTCACAGACCTAGCAACTCAGAATTCATGCTGGGAGTGTTTGCATGGGTGCCCAAGGTCCCAAAAGGAGAATAGAAGAGAAGGAACTACAGTGTGGCCACCCACAAGGGGGTAATTTCTCACTTTCCCTCTCTCTCAGTCTGGCAAGTGCATGTACTCTGTAGCAAAACTCAAAGAAAAGAAAAAAAAAAAAGGAAAAGAAAAAGTCAAAATACATTGTCAGAAGCTTGGACGTAGATTAATAATGAAGAATTGGCCATACATATACACAGATGTACTTATTATTCAAGTCTAAAGACATATTTCTTACGTGCCAGAGGGCATGAGTGCTCAGAGAGAGAGACAGAGAGGAAGAGTGAGAAAGCAAGGAGGCATAGTCACACTGCAATCCCTTCTCCTCCACCCTGTCAGGATTTGGGGCACGAACACACACACAGGTGTTTGGTGTGCTTTTCAAGCTACCATGACAAGGATTCAAACTGCGGTCAACTAAGTGGATCCGGTTCCTTTAACCACTAAGCTATGGGGCTGAACCACACTTATTTTTAAAGCATGGAATCAGATAAATGGCTAATACTTATTAATTTTGGCTATTCCTAATAATTACCCCTTACTCATAGACAGGATGACTGCTGTAAGATTATCATGATCAGTTTTTCTTTTTTTTAGGAGTTTTTTTTTTTTTTTTTTTTT